ATTGAAACACTTCACAATGTTTCTACACTTAAACTGAGCTAAAAAAAAAAGAATGTAGTGGTGTCTTCTATGGTAAAGTGTGATACTCTCCACTTTAACAGGCCCACTTGTTCAGTTACATGTTAAACCAAAAAGCTAATCAGACAATCACATGACAGCAACTCAGTGCCTTTAGGCATCTAGACAGGATGCAAAAAGGGACCTTGCAAGGGAGAAAAATGATTTAAGGGACTTTGAACATGACATATTGTTCTGAGTATTTCAGGAATTGCAGGGATTTCCACACAACCATCTCAAGGGTTTACAGAGACTGGTCCAAAAAAGTATAGTATGGTGTTGTTGTATAAGTACAAAGTAATAAATAAGCTAAAACGAACAGAAAACTAAGACAAAAAATACCCAACGGACTCCTCAAAATTGGACAATGAGAAATGAGGAAAAAATTTAACTCACTGGACTCCAACATCCTTCACCGTCACCAGATTAGTTCAGATTCCAGCTTTAGGATGTGGAGGACCATGATATGTCTCAGGAATGTGCAAATGGTATATTGGCAATAAAAATAAAAATCTCTGACAAATGTTTCCAACATTTTGTTAAATCTATGCCACAAAGAATTAAGGTGGTTCTGAAGACTGAAGGGGTTCAAGTCGTTACTCGCAAGATGGACCTAATAAAGTGGTTGAGTGTAGGTTGTGGAGGGAAAAAAGGTTTGCAAGCTCAATCATCCAGGTAAATAAATCACAAAAAAAAGTTAAATCAAGTCTTGTGGATGGTTTCTTTTTGGGAGAAATGTTTCGTTTTTTCATCCAAAAGACTTCATCGGTCTGAGGCTTGTCACCAAGAACTGTCATAGATAGCACCTTATTGATGTGCTTCAAACCAACCTGCTGTGGATTTCCCAGAAACTGGTTTTATACATACAAAAAGAGGCCCATCCAAAACAATCAATCATCAGTGCATAACTATCAAATGTTTTAGGCCTGATGACCAACTTGCTACTCACAGAAACCTCCCGAGGACACCTGATTGATGAAGTCTTTCGGATGAAAGACGAAACATTTCTCCCAAAAAGAAACTGTCCAGACGGCACGATTTAACCTTTTTTTGTAGATTGTGGAGGGTTTTGAGTGTATAAAACTTCCATATGTAGGTTGTGGTGGCAAGGTGGAGTGTGGTGACTTTGTATCCATAGCATGGATTGGGTATCAAGATGGTGAAGTAGGACTGCCTCATGTCTTGGCATGGCAATAAAAACAACCTAGTGCAGACATGGGGCTGAGATGGTGTAGAGGTATGGCAACCAACTTGGAACCAGAAAGTTGCAAGTTCAACTTCCCGCCATGCCCACATGTCGTGGTGCTCTTGAGCAAGATACCTAATCCCTAATTGCTCAACGGGCGCTTGCATAGCTGCTCACTGCTCCACCTGGGTGTATCCCAGGTGTGATGGGTTAAATGCAGAGAACTGATTTCATCATTATACAGAAGCATACAATGATGACAACACATAGCACTTTACTTTTACTTTACATACCCTTAAACAAAGGAGGAGGTCTCAGATGGAGCTTTAGGCCTGATACCCAGTCAGTTTCACTCCAATGAAGAACTCCAATCATGTGACCAGAGTGGCCCATCTGTGAGTCATGACTACAAAAACCCTAATGAGCTTTTATTATGAGGACTGATAGGGCAATCTGCATGTGAATCTAGCTTACAGAAACCTATAACTCAAACTCCACTCTCCATTATCTGAATTGATGAGAAGCCAAACATCTTCAGTTACAAATTAAAGTCTAGTTGTTTTGTATACATTTTTTTATTGAATTTTTTTTATTTCCCATGTCCTGGATGACTGAGAATCTTCACCAGCATTTTACATAGCCATGGCACTATTGCCACTAGTAGGGCTTCTTCTATTGTATTGCTGCATCCTGACATGATTCAATGGTAATGCCAGGGAAGGCATATAAAACACAGTGAAGGTGCAGGAAAGTATCTTAAGAATGCAACAAAATTCCCTCTGATGAATCCTAAGTGTGGGACTCGACTGCCTTCACACTAAAAGAAAGTTAGTTGTGATCCATGTTCAGCAGGTTATGTAGGTCATGGAGACAGTAACAGAGTCGTCATTCAGTGTGAAGGGTGCCACAGTTCTTTTACGATTGTTAAAAATACTTAAAGAGTAAATTCACATTTACTTAATACATCATAAAGTTAGGGTGCAATAACAGTTTATGTAATTTATCTGTTTTGTGATTTAATGTGCAACGTGATATTTTTCTTTTAAAGTTCATTCTAAAGTACCAGCATGGGATGCTTTAGAAATGTTTTTTGTTTAAGTCCATCATACGCTTGACCTAAGACCCTGAGAGATGCATCAGTGTTCAGCTGATCGACGACTATCAAGTTTTCAGCTGTTATCTCTAGGAATTACCTTGTTGCTGCTAAAATACCATTTTCTATCTGTCAAACTGTCTTTGGCATAAATTGAACAAAAAAGAATCAAACTTTCTCTAAAATTAGTTACAAACTGGACAGCAAATACAGCTGAGTTTTAAAGATGATGAAAGAACTTATACATAGTGATTGAGATTATGTAGCTTCACTTAAGCTTAAAAAACTCTGACTACATGCAGTAAGAAGCAACAAATGACATGGAATGACAGATGGAAAAACTAATGACGGCACAAGATGGACAAGGCAAAACAAGGCTGTAACTTAGTTGCATGGGGTTGAGCTCTGTTGTGTAGACTCGGTATCACCTCTGTCACAGACACAACTTTTATGACGTCCTTCTTTGAATCACACCTGTAGTTAACCCCTGGAAGTCGCTTTAACTTTATGACAATTAATTTTCCTTAGAGGAGAAATCCACCACCTAATTAAACTGATTAAAAATACTTAAAAATACTTAAAAATATATATGTATTGTTTTCCACATTAAACTACTCAGTCTTTTAGAGCTGCCTAAAATAAATACATCAAATTTAAATGATTTTATATGAACTCTTTAAGGGTCTTAAGTTAAAAAGAAAACCCTCCACATTTCAAATTTTCAAATCAACAAAATATTTACTTTATGGCAAATTAAAAAAAGGCAGTTAATCCCAAGACTATGCTTTGTTGTTTTGACAATTTAAAAAAATTAAAGTCTGGAGTTTTATAAAGATCCTTCTGGTTAGAGCTGTCATTTCTGACCCAAACCTGGAACCCGGTCATAATAATGTGCTTAATGTGTGGGCCGGGTCGATGCTGGGCTATTGATTGCGTCAGCAGACGTATATGGCTGACGATCCAATTATATGGCAACGTGGCTTGCCATACAATCACCAGCTGCATGCAGCCATTTGACCGTGTGCTGACCCGCCAGTTGAAAAAAGTTTAAAAAGGTTCAGTTAAGCTTCAGATGGACTACTGCCAGTGATCCATCAAAGCCCAAATGGACGTTCAATCAGCTGCTGCACTCAGCAGTTGTGCGTGGCCGACAACCCAAACAAGGTGAGATCCCAAAATATCCTTGCAGACATCAGAGCAGGGTCCGTGTCTGAATAATGCAGAACGCAGGCAGAAACTGGGATTTAATGCGCTTTGACGGCCATGAAAAGACAAACACCCCCTCAGCTCCGATCTTCTGCCCCCTTAGCCTCACACATCCGCCGACCGTTATAAGCAGTCAAAGCTTAATTAAAAATGTTTTTTTTTTTTTTTCCGAGTTCGGACCTGTAGTTACTGTTAACTCGTCGGGTGAGATTCGGAAATGATGGCTACGGGTCCCGCTGGGCCGGGTTGGATTTTTTTAGGCCCAAATGCAACTCTACTTACGGTTCTGTAGATGAAAATGAGGCCTTGTTTCAGTCAAACACTCCTGTCTCTCTGTGATCAGACAAGGAAGGTTTTTTATCTAATCATTTTTTTATTACTATTTTTATGAGGTCCTCCTTTGGCAAAACCAATGGCAGTCAGCTGCTGTCAGCTGTGGAATGTCCAGTTCTGCAACCTGCATGCATATCAAACAGCTTTTTAGTGCTAAATGTTTACTTGTACACATTATAAGTGAGATTTTGCTCTTTACGTCCAAACTAGAACAATTTTATCAGACAAGATGAGAGGCAGGGCCATGCAGCTCTGCTGGCGTGAGCTAAATTCTGTCTTGGTAAATTATTTTTATAGAGGCTCTCAAATGTAAACACAAAGCACCACCTAGTGAGCCAATATAAAAATATAAAGTATAGGGATAGATATTAAAAAAAAAATACTGAGAAGGATGCATTGTTTAATGATGTGATAAAAATGTGATTAACAGGTATATTTACAGTGATTTTAATGTGGTTAATTTTCCTCCTCAGGAACACGAGTGTAGTAAAGTTACTGTGGTTATGAGAGCATCTGGAAAAAAATCTGACAAAATAAAAAAGTAGAAGAATTTTTAGACTTTGTCAAAAAATGTACTTATATATTGCACCAAAAATAAACACATTAATTAATTAATTAATAAACAAACTAATAAAACAGACAAAAATTAATGTGTGGCAGATTTTTTTCCCATATGATTTTTAAAGGGTCACCAGTCTGACTGTGTTGCAAACGTTTCAGTTTTGTGAAGGTTGTTTCACGTGAGTTTTCATTTGACTTGACCTCTATGTGTTTGGACTGTGGATGGAATGTGAATGAGCTGACACAAACTAACAATAATGAAAACATTAAACAATGAAAACCAACTGGAAGTGATCTGATTTAAATAAAGTGTTTAGTTTCTTGGACATTAGATATTGAGCACAGTGTCCTTGAAGATCCATAAAATACTGGTTGGAACTTTAAATGTCATGAAGTACATTACTGATTCAGTTCTACCTGAAGTTATTTTTCTCATAAAGGGGTCTGAAGTACCATTAGGGTCTTAAAGGTCAGTGTGGTTTAAGGGCAAAGTTAAAGGCAGAAACACTCAAACATTTAAAAATTGATTTGTGATTACAGAGCAGCTGCTCCAAGCTTAAAAAGCTATACTGTGGTTTCATTTTTCCATGGGCCAGTCCGTATATTTCCTGTGGTATCTGACCCAAACAAGCCATCTTCTTGCAGACTCCTGTTTCGGCCAATGGCTCCCCGGCGGCTGACAGTGGCTTGCTGTCGAGGCAGTGTGTTTCTTGGGAAGCCTCTCTGCTCCACATTTAGATAGTGATTCTCCTTGTTTTGGTCTTCTGTCGTTGACATGCAGCTGTAAGGGTTGTGATCTTGCTGATGCTGCAAGGTTAGGGAATCAGGTTTCTCACAGAAGGCTGCATTAGGACTGGAGCTGTACATGTGCCACTGGCAGTAATGGGGCCCTTGAGAACGTATAAGGGGACTGTGACAGGAAGCTGTGCTGTCATGCACGTTTTGGGCATGACTAAGGTAGAATGTCTCTGAGTCTTGTACACTGTGGCAAGACATTTGGCATTGCAAAGTGTAGGAAGAAGCTATCTGCTTATCCAAGTGAGGGCTGGTACTGGGAAGCTGGAGATCTGGGTGTGGGCTGTTGGAAACCATTGATGGCTCATCAGGGTGCTGTAAAGCCTGTTGGCTGCCCACTTGGGTGCTGTGCACACTTCCATCCATACTGGATGAAATCATGTGTGAACGGTAGTCCTGAAGACGTGGGCGGATAAAAGAGCGTGACTTTTCTCTGTCAGTAAGGCAGCTCTGTAGAGGAAGAGTTGGACGAGGCAGCTCATCTGAAAGTGTGTGTGTACGTGATGAGGACACCGGCTCAATGAGAGGTGGGATGGGAGATGCAGAACTCATGACAGTGACACAACATGAACCCATGTTGCTTGGAGTTGGGCTTAAAGGAGGCGGAGTGATTTTGTCAAATGAACTCTGCAAAAGATGGGACGAAAGCAAGGGCTGCTTGCCTGAGCAAGGTGAGCTCAAGTGGCAGTGTGGCAGGTGGGGTTCCTGCTTCTGACTCTGGCCCTCAATATTCCCAGCTTCTGTCTTGGCTTTAGATGGGCAACAAGCCCACCAACTATTCCACACATCATCACGTTTGGCACAGTGCTGAATGAGAAGAAAAAGTCCTAGAGTCACACAAAAAGCTCCATACAGGCAGCTGAACACCATATCCAGGAAATATCCGAGTGACACTGCTAATGCTCCCAAAGCCCACGTAGACAACAACAGGAAGAGGGTAAAAGCCGTGGCCCATAGCTGGGACTTGAATGACTGTTCATTAGCCAGTACTGATACGCCGGCAGAAAATGGTGGACATTCTCCAGCAGCTCCCGCAGCCCCTCCTCTGCTAGGGTGACAACGATCTTCAGTAGACTGATCCTCACACCGAACCCGCAACTCATACCTCCTTTCCGGGTGGTGCTTCAACTGGATGTAGGTGTACAAGAAGTACATGAACATGATCAAGACTAGAAGACCCACTGGAGCATAAAAGCCTCCGAGGCTTGGCTCCCATGCCATCCAGCAACTGAAAATAACACAAAGTGACTAATGTTGATGACTGACACACAACAGAAAAATAATTGTGTAGACAGGATACTTACAACAACGCATCATCTCTGCTGCCATAGTTCTCCAGATCAAACACTGCTGTAACTCCAACAATTATCAGAGGGATCCCGTCACATACCAGATAAAATCTGCAACACCAGAAAGTTCAAATGACATCAAATAAACTATGAATGACAATGTGGGTTTGTCTGCCAACAGAAAGGACCACCATCAAACTGAGAGAGAGTTTGAAGGTTGAGCAGTGATTTTCAAATATCCAACAGTGAAAAGAGTATATAAATCTGAAAGTAATGTATAGAAGTACATTTTCATATGACTGTCATTTTGATGAGCATCTGTCATATTTTTTACTGGTGCCTGGTATTTATTTGCTGTTTACACTACTACAAGGTTGTTTCCCAACCACCATGGTGCCTTTCAAGACAGGGAGCATTTTTCTTCACACCTGCACAAATAGTTTCAGAGACCGCTACATCTGCTTCCGCCACAGTTTTATTTAGAGGAGAACCACCTTCTTCTTTCTGCTGCTACATTTATGGGTCTGCCTACATCTCCCAGCATCCTTCTCTGTCAAATAAACCCTCTGCAGTTCCTCCTTCATTACATCCATGAACTTTAACTATGATCTTCCTCCCTTGCAGTTTTATGTTTAATAGTAAATAGTATGTTTAATTTAATTCATCAAACCAGCTTTGACTCTAAAATTTTGGGAGTTACAGCTGGACCTCATAGTCTTTGTTTTTATCCATACAATCACTTTATTATGATTAAAGTCTCAACAAATTGACCTCACTTAACCTTGTTTGTGGTGTTGTTGTTTAAAGAAGTAATGTCTGAAATTAGGACCGTCTAACAGCCTGTCAATATAATGTTCTTCATCACATTTTCTTTCAAAGCATAATGAGGCAGAGACTGATTATTACATTTGTAAAGACAACTTTGGTGCTGTTTAGTTTAGACCCTCACCTCATCTCACCTGGACAGTGAGAATCTTGGAGGGGAAGTAACAACCCTGTCTGCTTTTGTGTCTTTATTTCTTCTCTTGCTTATTATGACAGTAGGTTATACAAAATCACAAGAGCACATGCACACATTGGAGATTTTTTGATACAGAATATTTCTCTGTTAGCAAACTTGCATCAATCACTGTTTTCTTTTTGTCTTAAATGTTTATGACAAAATAAAATTATCTGCTGCCTGGGAGCAGTCAACATTTTAATGGAGACTCCTGAATTCATTTTCTTTTTAATTCAACCTTTATTTAAACAGATAAATCACATTGAGCCTCGAAGACTCATTTACAAGTGAGATCTGTTTGGACAGACAATACAGCCTGATTTGTGTTTGTACTGTTTTTGTCATGATGAGCTCTCTGAATTGTCAAAAATAATAACTTCATTCAAACCATCCACATGTCTGCTAGATCTCATCCTAACCAGACTGTTTAAAGAGGTATTTCCTTTAATTAATAATCATGTCTTGGATCTACTTAATTTGTCTCTAATAAACGGTTACATACCACAGCACTTTAAGATTGCTGTAATTACAGTAAACCTTTAAGAAACATAACCTTGATTCAGGAATCCTAGCCAATTATAGATCTATATCTAATCTAACTTTCAGCTCAATAATCCTAGTTACTGCTCAGTTGCGTGATCATCTGCAAAGAAATAATCTGTTTAAAGAGTTTCAGTCGGGGTTTAGAGCTCATCATAGTACAGAAACAGCACTAGTAAAAGTCACTAATGATATTCTCATGGCCTCCGACAATGGACTTGTGACTATACTGGTCCTGTTAGACCTCAGTGCTGCATTTGATACAGTTGATCACAATAGTTTACTACAGAGGCTTGAATATGATGTTGGAATTACAGGAACTGTTCTAAAATGGTTTTAATAATATCTATTTGATAGATTCCAGTTTGTAAATGTAAATAATGAATCTTCATCATAAACCAAAGTTAGTCATGGAGTTCCTCAGGGTTCAGTGCTTGGACATTACTCTTTACTTTATATATGCTTCCATTAGGTAAAGTTATTAAACAGCATGGGATACATTTTCATTGTTATGCTGATGATACACAATTATATTTGTCCATGAAACATAATGAATCCAATCAGCTACTTAGACTTCAGCATGTCTTAAAGACATAAAAACCTGGATGACCCTTAATTTTCTCCTGTTGAACACAGACAAGACTGAGGTTTTGGTTTTTGGACCTGAGCACCTTAGGAATTAATTTTTCAGTCTTTCTCCTTCTTTAGATGCCATTAATCTGTCCTCCTGCTCTAATGTTAAAAATCTTGGTGTTATTTTTGATCAAGACATGTCTTTTATCCCCACATTGAAAACGTTACTAGAACTGCCTTCTTCCACCTGTGTAATATCGCTAAAATTAGAAACAGCTTATTTAAAAATGATGCAGAAAAACTGGTCCATGCATTTGTCACGTCTAGACTGGACTATTGCAATGGTTTATTATCTGGGTGTCCAAATACTTCCTTAAAACGTCTTCAGTTGATCCAAAATGCTGCTGCCAGAGTCTTAACTGGAGTTAGTGGGAGAGATCATATTTCTCCAGTTTTAGCTTCTCTCCATTGGCTCCCTGTCAAATCCAGAATAGAATTCAAAATATTCTAACCTACAAAGCTCTCAACAACCTAGCTCCATCTTATATTACAGATCTTGTTGTTCCATATTTTCCTAACAGAGCATTTTGCTCTCAGACGGCAGACTTACTTGTGGTCCATAGAGTTTCCAAAAACAGAATGGGAGGCAGATCCTTCAGTTATCAGGCTCCTCTCTTGTGGAACCAACTTCCAGTTTCTGTCCATGAGGCTGACACATTGTTCAGTTTTAAGACTGGGCTTAAGACTTTCCTTTTTGATAAATCCTATAGTTAGAGTTGGCTTGTTATTCTGCTTAGACTACTAGAGGAGAAATTGACCTCATTTCCTTAAATGAATTGTTTAAATTGAATAGTTTTCATTTGATATTATTTCTATCTTAACATGTGATTCTTGACCTGCCATTGTGTATCTGTCATGGTTTCCTGTTCCTCTCGAACTCAGCTAGTTGAAGCAGATGGTTGTTTCTCCTGAGCCTGGTAAGTGAGTGCTGGTGAGTCCTGAGCTAAAAGTTTCTTCCTCATGATGGAGTTTTTCCTTTACACTGTCGCCTTCATGCTTGCTCAAGATGAGAGTTCTGTGATGGAGTTAAACTCAAAGCAGTCTGCTCCTCAGATAATGTTAAATTATTATTTTTATGAGTGTTTCTGTTCAGTGCCCTGAGACGACTTCTGTTGTGACATGGCACTCTATAAATAAACTGAATTGAATTGAATTGTTTATCTGGCAACCCTGCTGATGCTGATACTGCTCAGTTGCATTATGTTTAGCATGTTTAGTGTCAGCATTTTCACAGTTGTGTCCAAACTGGCAATTGCACAAATATACTTATGGGCCTACGATGTTGTTGGTTTGCTCCTATTTGTTGAAAAAAGGTGAGTAGCACAAGAAACTCTGCTCTCTGCCAGTTATTGTAGCTGTTAGTGCAAAAAATTTAGATTGCAGCCATCTGATGTGCGCAAGTATGACTTCACACCTGTGTTGTATTTCACTCGTCTCCTGGGGGGTTCCCTCAAAAACCTCCACTCAGAGACCAGGATTCAGAAACCTTTGGTTTCAGAAAGAACTAGGACTGTTGTGAACACAAACACCTGAACTGCAGCAGAAATGATGTGGTTTCATCTAACAAGGCTGTCAGGTCCTCTGGATGGATTCTTCTTTGTTGAAACATTTCGTCTTTTATCCAAAAGACTTCATCAGTCTGAGACGCAGCAACAAACTCAGTCTTATAAATAGCACCTTCTCATAGTGGATCAACATGATTGCTGGTGACAGCCAAAACTAGATGTTCACATGCAGAAGGAGGACCATCAGCCTAACAATTATTGCCCTAATAATTGATAGTTAGTGCCCTGATAGATTCCTGAAGTAGGAATAGTAGTACAACTAGTAAGTAGTAGTTTATTATATATATATATATATATATATATATATATATATATATATATATATATATGTATGAAATGTTAAAAGAAATGTTAAAAGAAATGTTAAAAGCCACCCAAACAGAAAACCTTGGCCGAATGCAGAGGTGCGTACCCTGCTGGAAGCCAGGAACACTGCCTTCAGGTCTGGAAACTCAGAGGAGCTGAGTAGGACAAGAAAAGAGCTGGTTGCTGGTATTAAGAGGGCCAAGGCCACATATGCAAAGAGGATCGAGGGTCAATTCATCTCACAAGACCCTCGGAGCATGTGGAGGGGCATTAAGCGCATAACAGATTATAAAGGAAGGAGTGAACAATGCCCCAAAGACCCATCTCTGCCTGATGCCCTCAACAAGTTCTATGCACGCTTTGAAGACCCAAACAGACCACCCAGCACCAGACTCACCTCGCCACCGGATGAAGAGCATCTCAGCGTGACCTCAGCAGAAGTAAGGAGTACCTTCAGGAGGATTAATCCGCACAAAGCAACTGGCCCAGACAACATCCCCGGAAAAGTGTTGAAGGAATGTGCTGATCAGCTCTGTGAGGTGCTGGCAGACATCTTTAACACCTCACTTACCCTGGAGACAGTTCCCACCTGCCTGAAGACTGCCACCATCATCCCAGTCCCAAAAAGCTCTACAGTGACTGGTCTGAATGACTATCGGCCAGTGGCCCTCACCCCGATAGTCGCTAAATGCTTCGAAAAACTGGTCATGACTCACATCAAAACAACCATCAACATCAACGAGGACCCTCATCAGTACGCATACCGTGAGAACCGATCAACAGAGGATGCAATCTCCTCTGTGGTCCACACTGCGCTCAACCACCTGGAGCAGAAAAACTCTTACGTCCGTATGCTCTTTGTGGACTTCACATCCGCCTTCAACACCATGATCCCCCAAACCCTGATGGACAAACTATCCACACTAGGACTAAGCCCCTCCATCTGCAACTGGGTACTAGACTTTTTAACAAACAGACCACAGTTAGTGAGGATCCACAACCTCTCCTCCTCCACCATAACCCTCAGCACTGGCTCTCCTCAGGGATGTGTGTTGAGCCCCCTTCTG